AATAACTTTGTTAATAATGTAATTAAAATTGCATGAGTTGTGAATTTACACCAAATAATTGTACCTCTTGCTCAAGTGATTAATTTCGAGTACTAAACTTAAGTTCAAAAACATGTAATTGCTAAAGTGGGTATCTTGAAATTGATGGAATCTGTTAATAATGTCATTAGAGTTGCTCAACATGTTCATAATCTATAAATAATTGTGCTGCTTGTGATTAATTTCGATATTTGAAAAATAATAAATGTATATGTAATGAAGGAATGTATGAATCAATTTAGGATAAATAATGTAAATTATGTAATAAAACTTGTTTGACTTGTACTTATACAAGTGATTATTGTTTAACATGTTCGATTGATAATCATAGAATATTTAAGTCTGGAAATATATGTGAATGTGAATAAGGATATTTTGAAAATCCTATTACCTAGAATTGTCTAGAATGTGATAAATCTTGTTTAACTTGTTCCTTATAATTTGATAATTGCTTAAGCTGTGATTCCAGTTTTAAATTATCTTTGGTAAATAATAAATGCTTATGTTCACAATCTTATTATTTTGATTCTTCAACTAAGTAATGTTTATGTAATAAATCCTTTATATAATTAGAATGCAATATAACTTGTCTAGAATGTAACAATAATATTTAATGCATATTATGCAGAGGAACAACCAGGCATTTTGATTCAGATACAAAAAAGTGTATTTGTAATTAAGGATATTATGAAACAAACGAATAAAACTGTTAATGTAATTTTGTTACTAATATTATTAGAGTGTCATTTTTCATGCGAGACTTGTGAAAATACTAATAATCATTGCTTAAGCTGCTTAGATATTTACAATAGAATATTAACAAATAATTAATGTCTTTGTAAAGATGGATATTATGAAGTTGGGTTTGAATTATGTTAGAAATGTAATAATATTTGTAAAACCTGTTTGTCTACTTCTACTAATTGTTTATCATGCTACGATATAGAACAATTCAGATTTCTTTTAGGAGATAAATGTTTCTGCAATCCTGGTTATTTTGAATCAGGTTCAGATATATGTTTAAGTATTGACTGTTTATTATAAAATAGAATGTTCAAATTAGTGTAAGACTTGTTAGGGTTAAGATGATTATTGTACAAGTTGTGATATTGATTCAAAAAGAGTTGATTAATCAATAATACATAAATGTCCTTGCATTGTTGGATTTTATGAAGATTAAAATAAAATCTGTTAAAGTATATTAAATAATTATTTATTCATAGAATGTCATATAAAATGTTAAACTTGTATTAATTAGAGTGGCTAATGTTTAAGTTGTAAAGTTTTTTTAAATTCAAATCGAAATAATTTATCTGATTTATGCAATTGTAAATAAGGTTATTATGATGATGGAACGTAAATTCAATGTTAAAAATGTAATTTTAAATGCTAAACTTGTGAAAATGAGGAGAATAATTGTTTGGTTTGTTAAAATTCAATAAGAGTAAATCCGCCATCATGTAATTGCATGGATGGTTATTACGAAGATGAATAACAAATATGTTAAAGTAAAATTAATTTTTTAAAAATAAGTTTGTGCTTCTTAATGTCATACATGTATATTATAAGAATCAAATTGTCTAATCTGTAGGGAAGGAAGGATAGGAAAAGATTGTAGATGTTTTGATGGATATTTTGAATTTGGTTCACTACTTTGTGAAAGTAAATATTTTTATTAAATTTACAAAGAATGTGCATTTTAATGTGCCAGTTGTGATTCAAGTCAATAAAACTGTAAAACTTGTAAAGGTGATAGAATCTAAGAGCCTTAATGTATTTGTTAACCAGGATATTTTGATGATCTATTAAATGAAAATTGCTAAAAATGCAATAGTTTTTGTTTAGAATGTAATATAGATGGATGTTTATCTTGTAATGCGAATAGAATATTAAATGAAGAAATGGATTGCATTCCTCCACCAAATTCAGTTTGGTATGATCATACACCTTGGTGTTCAAGTATATTGTTTAATTATACTAATAGCTTGTCAAATTGCAGTTGTTAAAACATATTTATCAGATGACATTAGCAAAATTATCATTCGTTTTGATTTTCCTTTAAATCCCAAAGGATTTTATTCATAAATCCAAATCAATAAATGTTTGTAATTATTTGAGTTAGAAACTACAAAAAGTTTTGGTAATAATGCTGTTTGTTACCTAAACCCAGATGACTTTTAGGAATTATTCATTACTTTGGGGGAAAACTCATCAATAAATGTTGGTGATGAAATACTTTTTTAAAGTAATTCATTGTCTCATATAAATTGTGGTACTACTTTACAAAAGTTTTTTTTCACAACCTTATAAATGCCAATTAATCCAATTCCACCATAAATTTAATACAATGTACCTCCTCATTTACTAAATCCATATGCAGAAAACTTAGTGCATGTAAATTAAATTTCTAATAATGGGAATAGAAAATTAAAGAATATATTGTGGAGTTATGAAGCAGAAGACAATGAAAAAAGAGAAACCTTAAACTAATTCTTAGATTAAAATAATTTAATATAGGATTATAATTTATTCATACCAAAGTTTACTTTACCTCCTAATAGTTTAATAAAATTTAAGATATAATATTAGAATTTCATTCATATTAAATCCTTTTCAGAATTCACTTTATTAACTCATTCAGGAGAATATCCATAAATCAATATAAATTTGAAACCATATTATTTCGTTTTTGAATAAATATCAGTTAGTTTATCTGTTGGAACTCTTAATCAGTCAAATCTACAAGATAATTCTAGATACTAAATTTAAATATTTGAAAAAGATAGATAACCAAAAAAAACAACTTCTTCACATATAAATATTTCAATTCAATCTAATCCTTTTGAGACTATCTTTACTAATATTTCAAAATATACTTTAAGTCCAAATACAACTTATACATTTTAAGTCAATTCAACAAATCTAATGACCAGCAAGTCTTAAATATAATAATTTAAAATTCATATTCCATTTGCTGGATTAACTTGTAAATTTAATAATAGAGAAATTTAAAGTATAAGATAAGATCTAAATCTATAAATAAAATGCAAAGATTTGGACACAAGATATGATTGGAACAATGATCCAGATTTATATATTTAAGTTTCTTGTAAAGACCTATCATTAAATAATACATGTAAAAATTAATAAAAATAAACAATTCATGTTAATGCAACGGATTTTATTTAATTTATCAAGAAAAATTCTATGTCAACTTTTATAGTATAGGAATGGACAGTTAATGTTACAAAATTTAGTCAATCTTCTAAATTTAATCTAATTATTGTTTATCTTGAAGATAATTTTCCTTCATTAGAACTTGAATATAATCAAGGTTATTATATGAGAAAGGTAAATAATTTTGAATAACTCAATTTTACATTTCTCATTCCCCTTACTTAAAAACGTTATTTATTAGATCTATCAATAGCAATTATATATAACTATGAAATAATAGAAATACTACAACCATAATATACTTCGCACAATTTTAAAATATTTAATAGTATTAAAGAATTGAATTTTGGTGATACCATAAACCTTAAGTTTAGTGCTTAATATACAAATAATATAATGCCTAGTCTAAATAACATCAAACTAAATATCAATTAGCCTCCTATTTGTTCAAAATTATTTATTATTCGGTCTAACGATTTAGCTCTAACTAATATTTAAGTTGCTACAATTTGTGAACAATCAAATGACTTTCCTTATAAATATTAACTTAGATTATTTTTGAGAGAATCTGATTTGACAGAATTTTAAAAGGAGAATCAGATAATTCCTTAGTATTCTATTCATTTTAGAGTCAAAATTAATTTCAAATTTAAATACCCACTTCTATTGATCAATCAATTGTTGGAATTTTAGTATCAGTGCTTGATAATGGTGGATCAATGAGTCATATTTTTGATAAAGTTACTGTAAAACCTGCGAAACTTGATTGTTCTTAAATATAATTTTAGAACTTGACCTTATAAAACAAGATATCATTGCTTTTTGAATCGATGAATCAAAAATGTGATTAATTGCATTATTTAATTTATCTTGATTTGCATTACTAATAAATTTTTCCCAATACGAATGAAAATACTTTAAAATTTTAAGCCATAAAATTATATAAACAATTTTTATATTAATTACCATCTAACTAATCTTAAAATCGATTATTGAGTGAAGAGACTTAAATAAAATGTTTTGATTTAAAGTCGAATCATTTATTTATTACATCAAATTCAACTTATACTGTTGTTAATTTGACAAAAAAAATAGAAAATTTACAATAAGAGAATGATAAATTAGATATAGCATTAATATATTTTAGTGAAATGAAAAGAAAATGTTTAGAAGAGCTTAATGTAAATTAATTCATGTGGAATGAAGAAATTTTTCAAAAATATTAAACTTCCCAAGATGGTTTATTAACTCTATTATACTATATTGATGATATATATTCAGATTTCTCAAAAGTAAACACAAAAAATGAAACCATTTATAAAAATATAGTAAAATTGTTGAAAGACATTAACCTCATTTTAGAAGAAATATAAAATGTAGTTATTGTTAACCAAAGTCCTTTAGTCTTAAAAGGCAAAGAGATTTTTTTTTATATAAAACGAAGAACAAAATAATAATTTAATCAATAATTCAATATTGAATCAACTCAAGAAGATTATTTAGTTGATTTTGTTTAATCCGATAGCATTTAACTAAGAACAAATCCAAATAGATTTACTTTAGAACTTGAAAAAAATCTTTAAAAAGAATTCAATGATCAAACCTTAAAAATATACAATCAAGATTACTACTTAATTTAATTAAAAAATTATTTAAAAAACAGGTTTATTTCATTAGAAAATTTCATAGCCATTTATAGTACAACTTTTGAATCATATTAAGTGTGTTCGAACAATATCTAAAATTAATAAGAATATGAAATAAAGTGTATGTTGAAGACTATGTCAGGGAATTTTTCTTTATGTAATTTGATAAAAATATAAAATAATGATACCATTGATATAAGATGTGAGTGTAATAAATTTGGCGAAATTTTCATCATAACTTCCTCAAATTTTAGTAAAGTAATTTTAAATAATTCAGATTAATAAATGTTTGATCTTGTTTTTGGAACTACAAACTTATTGGCTATTATAATTTTTTCAAGCATTTTAACTCTTACATTTATGACCATATATATTTTATTTTTGCTTAAAGATTGTAGTAATAAGCAAGAAAGTTTAAATACAGAAGAAATTATTCCAAATACTTCAAAGAGTAACATTGATAAAAAAAGACTTTTGTATGAAGGATGCTTTAAAGTCTTCATAGCTAATGTGAAAGTAATTTTACATAATTATTATTAGTTAATCCATCAAAGCCTTTCAATATTTTATTATTAGGACAAGTATATTAATCTTAGTTATAGGATTTTGGAGATTTTTTCCTAATTCAATTTACTCTTAACTTTAACTATTGTAGAATGTTATGTTTTTAATAATTCTATTATTTTTATCATCTTATTCATAATTGCAAATCCTTTCATAATTTTGATTTTGAGGATATTATATAAGATAATAAAAGCGATCTATAGATTTAAAAGAATAGCAGCTTTCATTAGTTAATTGCTCCTTATTTTGCTGTTAGTAATACCTAATTTAGTTTTATTCATTTTTTAACTATTTAAGTATTTATTATTACGCTATTTTAGTATATCTGTGAAATCAGAATAATATGAAGTTGCGATTATCTTTTTAGGCAGCCTTCTATTTTCATAAATATTTGTCGAACCACTTATAATCCTTGTTAGAATAATAATATATAGACTTATAGCACCAAGTATAGATTAAAAGGAACTCAATCCATATATTCATTTAATACATTTTTTTATTATGCATAGCAGTTTAGAAGATATATTTGATAATTTTACCAGAATATGATAATATAATATAATATTTTAATATAAGTTTTATTTGAATGGTTATATGGCTTAATTATAATAGTTAGGAATTTCATATGAAAATGAAAAATATTTATATTTCGAACTAAACTTTTCCAATATTTTATTTAGTATTATTGGTTATTAATTCATTAAAATATTTAAAATTATATTATTAATATTTATTAGTAGCTTTAGGTATTATTGATTATGAATTGATAAATAATTCAAATACTTTTTAGATTTAACTCTATCACTGTTTTGAATATTAGTATTATAAGAAGAGATGATGCTTAGATAAATTAATTGATTCTAATCTTGTTTTGATAGTATCGTATATCATTTTTATCTATTGAAGTATTATTATAGAATTTTTTTAGATTATCTATGTAATCAGAATAATAGTATCTTTATTTATCTTAGGAAATATTATTATGCTATCAATTTTTATAGAAAAACTTAAAAATTTATGGAAGAATTTTTTAAATAGTTTGAGAACAGAAAGTCTGATAAAATTGAAAAAGAATTCATATCGTTATTTTATTTAATTATTATAATATTCTATAATTATTATATATTTTTTGAGACTTGTTTTTTTTGGGTTCAACTTTAATTAAAGTTAAGTACATTCTGAATAATTTTCCCATCATTAAAGAATTAAGATTCATTTTATATAAAAATAATTTGTTTGGAAATTAATTGTAATATTAATTTGGATTATTAGAATATTAATTATAATTATTTATAATTATTTAGGAAATATATATCAAATGTAGATGTTGTAAAAAATGATCAGCGTAATAATTTTTTTGTTATCCTACATGAAAAATTTTAAATTTACTAGGCCAAAAAGTTTCTATCATTTTTCTAAATAGATGAGCGACATAAATGATTATAAAATTATTTTATGTATGCTGATTGAGAAAATTAGAGTAATAAACGAAGATTTGATTTGATTAGAGATTGTTATTTGAGGAAATGGAATATAAATATCTAGTCATAATATCTGTTTAAGAAAGTTGTAAGAGAATACTTAAATAAAAATGAATAATTGATTTTGGATTTTATTAATAATTAATATAATAATAATAAAATATATGAATAGAATCGATTTCAATTGGGTTCCATTTCATGTAGTTGCATGTTCTAGTGAAGATTTCAATACTCCAGCAGACTTTCTATCTTCATAATAACATGGATAATAAAGAAGTTGGGAATGTAGTAGAACTGCAGATTATCCGGTTGAGTTAATATTGAGATTTCATACAAGAATTTAATTAGATCATTTATTAATAGCAAGTAAAGCAGATAAAGGGATTCCAAAATTGAATGTTTATATAGGTGATGGATTGAATGGTGGTTGGAATGATGCTGAATATAGAAGAGCTGGATAATGTGAGAATGTTTACGTTAAACCTCTTTAAGTAAAATTAACTGGGATAGGGAATTACTTAAAAATAAAAATAATTGAACATCCAAAAAGAGCTCCTTAAAATCCATATGGATAGGTATCAATATCGCTTTTAAAAATATGGGGTATTGCAAGAAGTTATAATATTATGGATTAAAGTGAAGAAGTTTATGGTGCAAAAGACAATATTGGTATAAAATAGTATTTAAATATAGATAAGATGTTGATTGATTTAGGTATTCCTGTAGATATGATCAATTGGTTTGAAGATGATGATAGAAATTATTAATATGCTCCGATAGATGATGAAAGTAGAGAGACTTTAAATGATTTAAAATTAAAAAGAGATTCAGCAAGGAGAGTTGAAGATTTTGAATTTTTAAAAGAATTAAAAAGAGATATGAAATTAATATTTGAAATAGGAAAAGAGATATGGAAATTAAAAAGAGAATTAAGTTTTTGCGTAGCAAAAGAAGATTATTTAAGAGCTATGGAATTAAGAAATAGATTAAAAAGATTAGAAGCTAAAAGAGATACATTTGATGCATTATATGAAACGAGTAGATATGAAAAGATGATTAATTTATAAAGACCTACAACAGCAGAATATATGAGACATCTAGAATATTTAGAAATGTAAGAATAAATGAATGCAGATGCATTAAGAAGATAAAGAGAATTAGAAGAATAAAATAGAAGAAAAATAATATAAGAAGAATAAAATTAATTAGGAAAGAGTATGGATAATAAAATAGATAAAACACCATGGTGGGAAAAAGGAGGTGACGACAGAAATATTAAAAAAAAGAAAAAGAAAGAAAAAAAAGAAGATGATGAACCACTTTTAAATTTTAATAATCCATTTGCATTTAATGAAGGTGATGTTGATCTTGAATTATATCTTAATCCTTTACTAGCATAAGCAGGAGAAAAGATGGTTGATATTCCTTTGGAAATATTAAGAAGATTGCATCAATTAGGATATTTAACTGTATTTGGTGCTAAAGCATGGACAGGTATTCATAGTGATAGTTGGAGAATAAGAGAAGCTTGTGCTTAAGCAGTATTAAATTTCTTAGAGATGCCACTTCCTGATAAATATAAAAATGGTAAAACTAAAAAATTGTTTCTGGCTGCCATGGAATTTGCCAAAATTTGTATGGAAGATAAAATATTATCAATCTATTTTATTGGATTAAAAATATTATCAACTGCTTTAGCACCTCCTGTTTGTGGAACTGATGTGTCACCTGCTATCATAAATAAAGTATTAAAAGAATTCACTCCAATTCTTATTGAAAAAATTAGTGAACTTAATTTTAGAGCTAGAGATATTAGTTTACATACTCTCTTAAGTATTTATAGACATCCTGCTGCTAATCTTGGAATGCTTGTATTTTATATATATATCATTTTAGGTCTAATGCTGTTTTGACAAAATGGTTATGGATCCTAATTTTCCTACTTTATTTGTACCACCTGATAAATAACCAACTAGAATCATTTAAGCAAGATTAGAAATCGTATCTAATATTCTTCAAGAATTTGGATATGATTAAAGATAATTTAATCATCAAGATATCTTCTTTATTCTAGCAACTCCTTGTCTTTTTCATTAAGCAAATGAAATAAGACTTTTAAGTATTGAAGTCATTGCTGCTCTCTATTAATTTGTAGGAGTAGAAATTAGAACCATGGTGGATGCTATCGAAAATCTTAAACCTGGTTTAAAAGATTAAATTATGGCAAGACTTGATGAAATTGATTAATAGGCACCTGGAAGTAAATAAGTTGATAGAGGACTTAGTCTTGTACCTGAAGAAGAATAAGAAGAAAATCAATCAGCATTACTCAAAAAATAAAAAGATAATGCTAACACTTAAAAGTAAGATCTTGATAAATCATAAAATAATATATCCTTAAACAATGCATCTTAAACCAAGAACCCAGATAAACTAAACAATTCATAATTAAGTAAAAAGTGATAATTAATTATTCATTTCTATAATTAACTTAAAAAATTATCATTTATTAATATAATTCTATATATTTTTGATTACTATCACTCTTTTTGGCAGAAAACAGTAATATTTCATTTTAAAGTGGTCTTTAAATATTAAAAAATTTTCTTTATTTTATTATTTTAAATTAGCCTAAAAATCAAAAAAGTACTTTTCTTTACATCAAAATCAAAAAATATGTATTAAATCTTTTAAGAATTCACTTTAATTAATTCGATTCTTGTATATTCATAATTTTAGTTTCTAAATAAAGGAGGAAATTAGTAAATTCTACTTTAAATTTTGATATGCTGTATGAATTAGAACTATAATCATCAGAATAATAATCTAAAACAATATTAGTCAAAGCAAACATTAAGTTAATTTGTTTGACTATATAAACCAGCTGATAAAATATGAGAATTATTTAATTAATTAAAAATTTATTTATATTTTAAATATTAACATAAACCTTCTGATGTAATGAAATCTGTCAGGATGAAAATATATTGTTTTATAAGTTAAATGATTATATATTATTAAATAGTACTCATGATCATAAATAAATAAATATAAAACATTCATTCTAAAGATAAGATTGATTCAATACTATTTTCAGGTGATACTAAAATAAAATGGAATAAATACATTCATTAAAAATGAAACTCTAAATTCCAGATGAAATTTTTTCTTATTATTTTAAATACTAATTAAATTGATCTATTTTATTTTTAGCTCTATATGCAATTTTAAGGATGGATAGAAGTTTATTTCTTTCAACCTAAACTAATTTATTTTTTTTTTATTTATCAATTTCCTGGCTTAATTTATAAGAATCAGTGATTGGTCGATGAGTTTTAGCTTATTCAAGATAGTTTTTAATTTTATTAAGTTTGGAATCAGGCATTTTAGAATGCAATTTAGAGGTGCTAGCAACGTTTCCCTGGCTTCCTGATCGTATAAGTAAGCTATTTTGAATAGTCGATTGTAGCATATTATGTTATGGTGTCCTACATATATCTGGTGAATCTCTTGGTTCAACTGATTTTTTTTCATTACTCTTATTCATGAGCGTTTAGAGTAGGGCTTATTGGGATAACGTACTTTTGTCGTTCAACTTGATACGGATATCCAAATCCCCTAAGTAGAGAGGCTGTAATTACTTGAGTCTCTATAAGTTTTTGATCCATTAGAATCTCTTTTGGCAATGTAATTCTTATAGATTTCATTTTATGTCTTATTCAATTTTTCAATGATTTCATTTTATCTTTGGTTGGAATCTCTAGATTTTTTAGATTATGATTTTTGCATTTAACTTTTATGCATGAGTAAATCCTTAACACTGATTTAGATTTATGTTTTTTTATGATCACTAAAAAATTTAGAGATTTCAATTTTATTATCTTTGTTATCTTATTTAGGATAGAGAGATTGATGATCGCTAATTTGATTTCCTATCTTTTTATATCTGATATAAGTACTTTCCTCTTAATTTTTTAGCTTAACATTCTGAAACTCTATTGATTTTGTTTATCATTATCAACAGTGTATGCTGATAAGATCTTGGAAATACGATCTGATTTGATATTTGATCTATTAGTTAGTAATTAATTATGCATATTATATTAATGTCAAATAAATAAATCTGATTTCTTATACACATATACACTGCAATTGTTTTTTGTGATGAATTTGAGAATGGACTTAAATAATACCATTGAATTTTCAAGTTATTATTATGAGAATACTAATTTTTGAATGATATCCCATAGAAATCGAAAGACCTCTTCTTTAATAATAAGTTTATTAGTTTCAAGTGCTTCTTCTGAAGATGAAGCATATTGATTGTAACGAATAACCTTTTAGCTTAATTATATTTAGATTTTATCTTATTTGAGAGTTTTAGGTCTTAAACAAATCCATTAAATCAATTCATATGTAAGTTCAGGAATTGATTAAATAAATTAAGTGAGTTATTAATAATTTTATCTAATTATTTAGACTTGACTCCATAATTTAAATATTTCTATTAATTCTGTTAGAGATATCTTTGATATGTTTGACTTATTTGCTCGCTTAAGATTCTTTAATAATTCATCATCAAACTTAAAATAGAGAAAAGACTTACTTCAATAGTATCAATTGTTTTTTGCATTTGTTCACAATATTTAAGAATAAGAAGAGTCTTCGGTTATCCTATAGTTAATTATTCTTCTATGAATGAAAAGAATTAAGGATGTATTTAATCACTAAGAAAGAAAAAAGTCTATTTATCACCATAAGCAGAGGATTATAACAATTTCCTTCTCTCATTCATATGCTGATGAAATTTGGTAAGAAATCTAGCTCTTGCTTTTTATTCCTTTTCTCTGAAATATGAATAGCTTTATTAATACTCTACAAAAATAGCATCCTTCATTCTTTTCAATCTACTCAAATCCTTATATCCATGAATATCAAGCTTTTTCAATGCATTCTATTATTATTATTATTATAATTATTATTATTATTAATATAGTAATAATTATTATTATTATTAATTATTCTCCATTTTATTATTTGTTTATTATTATGATTATTATTATTATGAATATGAAGAATTCAAATTTTATTACTATTATTATTATTAAGGAATAGGTTGTAGTTATAAATAAGGTTGAGATGGTTATTTTCGTACTGGTTAAGCGATAGGTATAGGTGGTTTTGCTTTACTTTAATCTTCAATAAGAATTGAATTTTTTTCATGTATTGATTTTGTAGGAGATTACTTAATTAATCTACTTTAATCTTTAAAGGATTTTGTTTATTCTCTTTATTAAATTGGATACTTTGATTAAACTTAAGTAACTTTAGGTGTCACTTCTTATTTATATAATGATCCAGATCGTTTATGCATAGATAATTTTGAAGGAGATAACTTTTTTTAGCTTACTTTACGAGATAATATTTGCTTTTTATTATTTGATTATTTTAATGATTCTAATTTTCTTTTTGGTTATTCAAAATCTTGTTTTTCTTATTTCTTTGGTTCGATTTAAGTTTTGTTAGGATCTGATAAAAATTGTTCAGCTGTTTATAAAATTTTATCAATATCATTATTAATTTCTGGAAAAGTAGATGGAAGTGATGATTTGTGTTACATATATTTCATTTCAAGTGGTCTTCTATGTGAATTAGTTTTATTTGTTATAGTTTCCATCTGTAATATCTATTATTAAATGTCCTTTATTGTACGATCCAAGTGCTGATAATAAACCATTAATGAAGGTATTATTTCTTAAAACATTAAATAATTAATAATTTATTCAAGAAAATACTTTAACACAATCAAGTTCTACTTGGGTCATATCAAATGGAAATTAGTAAGCAAAAATTGCTTGGACGAGCATGCATATACAATATATTAAAAATGGCAAGAAGGGATCTATCTCAAATATTGGAAATATTATAAATGGAATTATTGCTCCTGTGAATTTACCTACTGTTTAAGTTAAACCAACTCCCATAGATCTAAATTAAGTTGTATAATTTTCATTCATTATTACCATCTCTGTTGTGAACATCATCTTTAAAAAAAATGAAATTGTTGTCATTCCAAAAACTAATAGTTCCTCCCCTTAGATATAAGTAATCAATGATGTCACACTTATTATCAATGCAATATAAATAACTAATTTCTATCTACCTCCAAAAATCTTACTGTCAATAACTTTGTAAATGCACATATTTGCCAATAATTCGGATATCATCATAAATAAAATGATTTCAAAGCCTTTATTATGATAATGTAACCAAAAAGGCATTAAAATATATAGAGAACATTCTATAAAGGATGTCAAAATGAAAACAAACCACATTCTAATTGTAAATCCTTCATATCTTCCCTTAAATAACTAACTAAAGTTAGTCTCTGATTTTATGATTAATTAAGAATTCTCGATCAATCCTTCTTTCATATTATTTGTCAATTAAAAATTCTAAGTGTTATTATGTAATGCTATTAATTCAATTTCTTCAAATGCTTATTGATATTATTATTTCACTAAATAATATCTGGGAGACTCTCTCAAATATATAATTGATCCTATACAACATAAAAGTAAAGGTAATGAATTTAAAGCCACTAATATTCTCCAATGTCCTTCATCAAATCCTTACAATAAAGCCATACATAAAAATGTACAATAAATCTTACCAACTATAAATACCGATGCTACAAATGTCATTATTGATCCTCTAATATTTGCTGGAATTATCTCAGTAATGACTATATGTCCCAAAGGTATTGTGGTTCCAAAAATAAAACCAAATCCTAAACGTAATAAGAACATTTCTAAATATGTTTATGCTAAACTCATCCATAACATACATACGAAACCTATCATACTACTCAGCATTAATGTTTTCTATCTTCCTATAGTATCAGTGTTGAATGCACAAAACATTGTTCCACCTACTATTCCTACAAAATAGATGCTAGCTAAATTAGACACTTCACTCTATTCCAATTTCCATTCATGTGATAAAATTGTTAACATTATACCAATTATTGTCTTTTCAACTCCATCTGAGAAATCTATCAACGAAACAACTAAAAGAGACTTTTTCTAAAATGAACCCATTTTTAATGATTCCTCCAAGAGTTGATCGAAATTAACCATTATTAAATTAAATAATTCTCTTTTAGAATAATATTTATCTTTAATTTATTGCTTCATTATATTATTCTTTCTTTTAAAATTTGCATCTCACACTTTAGATATTATTATGTTACATCAAATTTATTTAACTTTTTTATTAATAAACAATCATTCATGTCTACTTGGGAATTTGCATAGCGTTATAATCATTTTATAAAAAAACCATCTGAATTTATTGTTTAGTGATAAAATTGAAATAGAAATATAAAAAAGAGACAAAAAAAAACAGTGAATTAGAGTATTGTAATTCATAATCAAATAATCATCTGCGAAATCTTGCTATAACCAACCATATGTTTAAGCATATCATCCTTTACAATTACTCTTGAGGTGTGCTATTCTATTAAATCTTTTATCTTCTACAATTACACCTTATTCTCAGTAGGTGAATATTTGAGTACAGGGAAAGAGAGTTTTCGCATGTTCTGTTTCTTTTTCTCAATCATAGGAGCACTTTTATATTTGTAATTCACATTCTCAATTCTTCTATCAATCCTTTATACAATTTAGGGCAGTTTTTAAATGTCTTTAAATACATCACTTCCACTGTCAGATTTATTATCTGTTTTTTTGTGAAAAAATCGGTTTTATTGCACATACCCACTGAAATACTTTTTCATTGTAAACAAATGCTTAGGATTAAATGCTGGTTATGATTAATGTTATTACATTAATAAAATAATAAATTAATCGAATGGATCAAACTAGAGAAAGTTTATTATGCAGATTCATAGTGAATTTAGATTAAGAAGAAAAAAAACCAGATAGATTATTTTTTCATTTACAAAATGCGTATTGGTATTATTTAGATTTCTTGAATCCAGAAGATAAAATGTCATAAACAGAATTCTATTCGTGGCTTTTGAATTCATTATGTGAATATAATGAAATAAGAGGGAACCTTAAACAGTAGAGAATTTAAATAATAAAAGTTATCTTAAGCAATTCAAATAATATCAAAAACATATCCCTTTATATGGAGCGATACTTTTGAATGAAAGTCTGGATAGTGTGTTGTTAGTTATGAATTACAATTAGACAGTATATAGTTTTCCAAAAGGGAAAGTAAATAAGAATGAGTCAGGTGTTGAATGTGCAATAAGGGAAGTATGGGAAGAAGTAGGTTATGACATTTCAAAAAAGATTAGTGATAAAGTATGACATTGAGTAAGTTAGGATTATTTGGAATTTATTTGTGAAGATACTGGATAACCTTAAAGAATGTATATAATATGTGGAGTGAGTGAGGATCATAAATTCACAACAAGTACTCGTTTTGAGATTGGATGCATCTAGTAAATAAAATCTTCATATTTAAGATGGGTTTAAATAAAAGATATTTAAAGAGGAGATTCCGCTTATGTATATTTGAATCCCTTTATCTAAGGATTACAAAAATACATTTAACATAAAAAATAATTAGAAAAAAGTAAGGTGAAGAATAGCAGCTAAACTATCGAATAGGATTTAATAAGTTAGATGATTGATAAGACATAGGAAATATTAAAGTCATTTAAGAATTCTTTAAAATAAGAATAACCAAGATAATTGTAATAACCATAATTTTAGTAATTCAAATTAATTATTGCTTGATATTATCAACTATTCTCTCGGATTATTCTAAACTTGAATACATTTTATTTAATTCTGAATGTTCTTTGTTGAATCTCATGAGTTTGAGTTTGATATCTTTGAATTATGGATTATTGGTTTGCAATTCTTTATGTAATTCATTCATAACATCATCAAATCCTTAATTATACTCATTTACATTGTAAAGATAAACTTAAAATATAAGAAATAAATATACTTCCTTTGATCATAATCTTCATCAAAGAGATCATATTTTTATTCATTGTAATTTATCTTTCAATACTAACTTCATGTTATTTCTTTTATTTAATAGTTTCACCTAATACACTCAATTCTTCAAGTAATTACTTTTCATCTTCTTCCTCAAATAACATTGGAAAATCATCTCTTTCAGAATTAACTTCACTTAATTAAAATGGAGTAACTTTTAAAAGTTATAAATTCAAAGCAGGTATTTTAGATGTTGATTTCTATTATTAATATGAATCTCTTTATTTAATCTATTCATCATGTTAATCCACAGTCTTAATACAAGGTTATCGTTATTACTTAGGAGTTTTATTATCATTATGTTTTTTAGGAGTAATACTTATATTCTTTTTTAATTCCCCTTTCAACTTCTTTATTTCTTAAACATTTTAAACTTTCACAGGAGTTCTGTTTATTTAATAATTTTCATTCTTGATATTTTGAGGTGTTTTAGGTCTAGCAAGTCTATTACTTACTTTACTTAAACGACTGATAGTTGATCTATCTGTTGTTTATTATTACATAGAATCATTGCTATTTATACTATGATCCAACTTGGAACTCTATTTAGAATTCATCATTATTGATTATTCTAATTATGTATATGATAATTCTATCTTTCTAGTATTAAGTAAATATTTTATCAGTTTCTCTTCGCATTTATCTACATTCTCTAAAGGATTAAATCTAAGATTCAAACTCTCCAATCTAAGTTTCTCTAAAGGTTTCAAATCATTTAAATTTAATTAATTATGTCCAACATCAATTCTATTATTAATAAATATTATTATTTTACATCTCCAAATTTTCTAGTTTAGTAAAACACCATAATGCACAAGATAATTGATTGTTACTCAAGTTTATTTTACGAAGTTAGGTATTATTATCAAATATATTTGAACTTATTTATGATATACTATTATAACTTAAATCTATTATTCTTAAGTTCTTTAAATTGCACAAAAATGAACCTACATATAAACGTGTACCTTGTGATTTTAAAGATTTCTAAAAATCATCAAACACACTTCCCAATAAATTGTGAGCCAAATTTAATTCCACCAAAGATTAACCCAATTGGAAGAACTAATTTATCCGATTATGACTTAAATCCAAATTGTACAGACATTGAAATTATGAGAATCCATCTGTTGATCCTAAAAAATTATGACTACAATTTATTGATCTAGTTTTTGCATAATTTAGATGTGTATCATAGACAGCATTCTAATTCATAATAACATATTCAATACAATGGTTTCTAAGTTAAAGTTCTTTATTTGTTTATTAGACACATTAACAACCTACATTCTTTGCTTAATTTAATTTTTAAATACAAATACTACTTAAATTATGCGCTATTATCTAATAAAGTAAATTAAAAAATACAACACGCAAATTTAACAATTGTACATCCCCCCAAACATTAACCTTAATTTAAAAAATACATTCAAATTAGTAACATAAGGAAAAATCATTATTGATTACACTAATCAACATGTATGGATGGATGATGAATTATTCTAACGATTCTCTGTACCATTAATTGAAATGTGTTCAGGATGTAAATTAATTAACATTGAATGGATCAAATAATCAGTCAATACATATTAATTGTCCATTCTCATTTATATATTTTTTAACCCGCTTTTTTTTTATATTGATTTTATTTGTACAGGTAGATAGCCATTTGAGTTGAAAAATCAATATAAGCCTCAATTCATACATAACCATCTAAATTAGCATTTAAGCTAAATTCAAGTTTAGGATATAATACTATATATTAGTAATTCTCCGTTTTATAATATTCAATAATAAAGAGAATATATTAGAGTAGAAAATGTTTTTAGAATGAAGAGAAGTCTTATTTACTCTAAAAATTCTAGATAACCAAAAAGAAACTGTTTATATACAACCATTCTGAATTGAAAGTCTATTTTGAATCGACATTCTTAATATAATTGAATTGGAGTTAAGAAGTAATATTAAATTTATTTTTGGTTAATGATAGTAACAATAATCTTAAGTATCAATAAATAAGTTATTATGTTGACAAATTTTTATTATTATACATATTCAAGGAAAATAAAAAAGTATAATGGATAGAAAAATAATTTTTATAACTCTTACATTTGTATATTTGAAGTTATAAGAATTGTAAATTAAAGAAATATTATAGATTAAAACATATGTTATTTCAATAATTTTAATTATTTAATCAATTAGGATTAATAGTTGTTGTTTTTAGCATTAATTACAACAATATTAAATTAGAGCCTTAAAAATTTTGTTTTTAAATTTTCAAAAACAATTTAGAGTAAATATATAAATAAAAGACTTTTATTTAAATATTAATTTATGATTATTATTCAAAGAGCCTTTTTGAATAATTGATGATAGATGAATCCTTTATTTTTTTTAAAATAAAAATTTTATTGATAATTAAGATAAAAAGATATTTATATTAGATTATAAAATATATGATTAGCTATTTTACTAAAGGAAGTGTATTATTGGGAATCATAAATTTAATTGTAGCATTTAGAAACTAAGTAGAATTTGAAGATATTTATGGCTAAGCTTATTGTTTACAAGGTTATGGTTCTCATTTCTTTTTTCCAATTTATCCATATTATTGCATAAGTAAAAATTTGTTTTTTTTCTTAAGGTATTTCATCTGTGTGTGATGGTGTGACAATACCTACTTTAAAGAATCCAAGTCTAAGTTCGTATTATGATACTTTTTGTCATCCAGATGTCTAACTTGGATCTCAAACAATTATTAAATAAATTTCTAAATTTTTGAGATTTGTTAGCTGTGGGAATGAATTTGGTTAATTAGTAATGACAGTGAAAGAGGATGGTAAGTATTTTTTTGAATGTCAATGTAAAATTTAATGAAAAATTTAATATTAGATGAAACTACTGAAGATAAAATTAGATGCTACTATGCTTAAATAATTTAAGGAATATACAAATGTTTATATTGTCACGATTATTATTATGGAGAAAATTGTGAAAACAAAAATTATAGTTCAATAAGTTTATAATCAAGTATGTAATAATTTAAAGAAAGAATGCGAATAAAAAAATCCAGATGGTAGCTGTTTAATGTGTTATCCAGGGAATGGAAAACGATCTTACTATGATAAAGATTGTTTGTAAAGTAAGTTATTCTAATATTTATAGAATGTTTCCCTTACACTTAATGTTACGTAGATAATTATGAAATAATATATTAATTACCATGTTAAGAAGATGGAGCAATTTAATTAGGTACTAGATGCGTTTGTAATAAATAAATGAAATTTAAGCATGTAATATAACGAAATGTTCTAAATGTGAATTAGATGAGATAAGTTAAATAGAAATATGTTTGAAATGTAGATACCCTTTTGTATTAATAAACAATAAATGTTTGGGAGATTATAATTGTTTGAGATATGAAAATGTTCTGGATGGAACAGGAAATCTTATAAATATCTCATGTATAGAATGTTTATATGGCTA